GGCGGCCAGAGTATAAATTTAATCTCCATCAAGGACTGAAGTTATGAACGTGTGGCACGCCCCCGCCCCACCTGAACACATGTCAACAAATTACATAATGGTACTCATAAAGACCATTTCCATTCTGATATATAATGCAAATAAAACTATCTTCAGATACCATAAACCAGTTAAACAACTGGTAAATGAGAACCATAGCCCCATGAAAGCTCTAATACTTACAAGAGAGAGGGAGAGAAATAAGAAGAAGAGAGTACCAAAACAACAATGATACCAACAGAAGTAGGTAATTTATGTTAAGAAAATAAGTTCCTGTTAATCACGAACAAAATTTCCCTGTAGAACGTTCAGCCCTATGTGCCTGATCTTAAAATGAAACTAATACGTAAAACAAGATGGGGAAGTGAAACAGGTACCTTGAAACCTCTTTGGCTGTGAGAACCTCAAGTCTTACATCTATGATGTTCTAATTGAAATCTCCAATGACAATACTCCGACAGGATCATCAAAGAAGCTCCTGTAAAAGGCATTTCTAGTTTAAAGTTTGTGGTTTCTATTGTTGTGTGATATGACATCCTTTTTGAGGTAAATATGAATAGCAAACAACAAAAAGTGAAAGAATTTTACACAATGCCATTAATCTGCTGGGAAAAACCAGTAGTTTCTTGCAGACGCAGGACTCACCAAGGGTTTGAGAAAACAATGGTAAATGTGCCAAAAATTTCTGAGTAGTTACATATCCTAGTGCACTACAAGTCACATCAATTCTGTACTAAAGGAAATGAGGAAGCAAATAATGTGCCTATTTTGACCCCCAAGGAGGGAAGTTAAAAATGACTGGTGCAGTAAATTGCAAGCCAATTTCCAAAGTCATCACCACATGATGTGTTGAACTTTGAATGTAAATGCAAGCTGACGGATTGTCCAACAGATTTACTGCTATCTACATTCTCCTAACACTACCCATTTCTGTGGCCAGTGGTGAGCAAAGCTTTTCCACGCTAAAGCTGATCACGACAGACGTTCATTCCTCAGTTTTGCAAGAAAGACTTGCTGGGCCATCCACCTCGTCAACACGAAACTGCACAGAACACTGACCTGAAAAACCCTGTTTCAAGATGTGATAACCTGAAAATGTGGAAAATTAAATTCTGTATCCTTCTGCTGGTACACATTTTGTGTAAAATGTAGAACAATTAAACTAAATCCAAAATTAAAAATGCATAACGTTCATTCAAACTAACATAAAATGTTAATTTTCCAAGTTAATACACTTATACTTGTACTTGCAGACTTACAGACGTTAGGGGCGAATGTCTCCTCGCAACTGCTAAATTTTATGAAGGTTTTCTTTTAATATTGAACTGAAGAAGTTATGGTCACAAATGTGTAACAGCAACTGACAGAATGTTTTACAAAGTGGAGAGTATTTCAAAATAAGTCAACAAGTTTCTGTATAACGTTACTTTCATCAAACTAAAACTTTCTTCGAA